GAGCCGCCCCCTTCCTCAGCTCGGGAGCGGCCCGAATTCCCCCTTGCCCCGCAGTGTTTCAGGAGACTGTGTCGCTTCACTCCAGGGCGGTGGTTTCCTTGCTGTAGCTAATAAAGTTGAATTTTGTCTCGTGTTCCTACACCCCTTTCTCATCTGTATACGCTCGCACCTGGTGTATGAATTGAACCAAGTGCACGTTCCCTGTGTGCAGTCTTGAGCATGGTAACAGTGTGAGATGGTGCTAGGTGCGAGCTTGGAACAGGAAGTCTTTGGTTGGGGGAAGTTGGGGTTTTTTTATTCTTATTTTTAAAGAAATGCTAATCACGCAAAATTTGAGTGGAATTTACTGGGAACTGAAGGTATTCTGCGTTTTTGAAGTAAACGTGTCCACTTTGGTCTTTGGCTGCTATACCCTGTTGAGAACTGGCAATGTTTAACTTGTAATAAAGTAATGCGTGCATGTATCAGCTTGTCTTTCATTTGGGGACTACTATGTCAAAGGTATGTTACAAAAGCGTATCCTCAATGATATTTCACTGCAGAAACAGCTGACTCCTAGCAATCTAGTTTTTCACAGCCATAACGCTCAAGTCTTTGGTTTTGTTAGGTATATCAAAAGACTAATTCATCCTGGGGCCAGAATAGAGCTTCTTGATCCTTGTAGTCTGTTTTTCATTCGTTTGTTTAATGAAAGAAGGTTAAGTGAATTACTTTAATGGCTACCCAACTCTTTATGCACGTTTACGTTTTTAACAGGTTTTTAATGCTTTAATGCTTCCTGCATATTTTTCTCATAATAGGATTTAGTATTAATATAACACTTTACCTTCCATATAATTTTTCTCTTAACTTGAGAAAGGAAATTTAATTTTCTGGGACAGGTAAATCAGTCTGCGTTCTGATGACCTGCTTGAGTGAAGGCATGCAAGCTCCTAGCTGGCAGTCACCTTTTTAGGAACTAGTGCTTTTCACTATGAGAGAATGGCAGTTCATCTCCAAGGAGGGCTGTTGATGCTGAGTGTCCTCATAGTTTTATAGTAACAATTTGATTCCTGTAAAACTGGCTGGGCATTAAATAGGAGGAAGGGTGAGGGGACAGATTACATGCCTCTTGGGATCCCTTCTGGCCTACAGTTCTCCCAGAAACAGAACCGTCCTTGCATGGTGACAGCTGTTAGGTTGATACTGAGCTAGAATTACAGAGGCTGTGGGAAAACTCCACAACTGTCAGTTCAGTGAGCTATCTAGAACTTTCTCTTTTCTTCTCTCTCTCCCTTTGTCCTGCCATTCCCAGCTGAGTAGTTCACCTTATTTTTTACAACAGGGATAATGTGGAATGGTCAGAAGAGCAGGAAGCCAGTGCCAGAAGTAAAGTTCAACAGAACAGCTCACAGCTATTGCCACAAGATAAACAAGGTACTTTTAGATACTGTTCTAATACTTAAGTCTTGTGCATACAACAGCACAGTCTGGCCAGATCTATATGTGCATCATCATTTATTCCTCCCTTCCCTTCTGTCCCCTCCCACATCATTCGGAATTCATCATCTAGTGCTTGAGGTTGAAAAATGAAGGAGGAGGAATCTTTCTGCTCTTAATTTACTTCTTTTTGACTTTTCCACCTTCTCCAGAGGCTCATCCTACTAGACCAGAAATGATCTTAGTTGGGAGGAGTCATTTTGGGTTGAGCTTCTTTGTTCATGTCACATATGTTTAAATACTTAGTGTTTCCTGTCAAAAAACTTCTCTCAATGTAGAGCAAGAGCCTCCTTTAGTTTTATTTTCTCTACTTTTGCTTTCTAAAGCTTAACTTCTAGCAGTTAATCTCTTGTTTGTTTGCATGCTGTGGTGCTATCCTTAGTGTAAACTCACTTTTTCTCTTAAGAGGGTCTAAAAAAGTAGTGCCCGCATTCATCTTGATGAAGTTAACAAGCAGCGTGATAATGATTAAATCAGAAGTGAAGAGAAGTGGCTTTATCCTGATTTGAATATTTCTCATCAGAGAAGCAGAAAGGGGAATTCTGAATTTTCCTTTCCTCAAACTTGGCTTAAGGGATGTTGATATAGCCATAATGCAAAAAGCTTATCTGAATCTGAATCAACCTAAAGGTTCGCACAGCTCTATAGCCAAGCAATATGGTTGAAGTTGCTGTAGAGTTAATTAATATTGCATCTTTTTTCCACACCAGTTCGATATCATCCGGCCTCTCCAAAGATGGTGAAGTGGCCTCCTGTCCTTTGGTACAATAAAGGAGTTGTTTGATGATAATCTTGTTATATCCTGCCAAGCTCAAGGATGGATCTGCTCCTTTTGTTCAAATTCAATTGAGTGTGTCATCTGTAAGGAGATGCTGAACACTATTGGAGTTCTTCAGACACATCCCATATAGCTTCCAGTTGTGTTCACAATAGCAAATTTAATTATACCAAAGAGCAGCCCCCCTAATTTCTTGGATTCCCAGAAGTATCCAGCAGTTTCTATTGTGATACCCATTGTATTGAGTTCATTTTAAAATCTGGTTAACATTAAAGGATGTTGTCTGTCACGCTTTTGAGAACCTATATGCAACGATGAAATTGTGGAGAAATTTTCGGTTAGAACAGTTTGTCAGGTCTTCATGATGTATTTCCCAGACAGAACAATGGAGGCCCGTCAAATTTTGATGGCTCCTATTCAATGGGAAGCATGTGGAGACAATGGGATGGCTGAAACTTAGGGAAGCCAGCCCAGCCAAATGTGCCTGAAGGGTCTAGTGTTTTGAGAATCAAAAATGTCCAAGCAGGAGAACAAAGACAGGCTATTGGTCGTTATGGCTGTATTATTCTATGGACTTCTTGGGCTATCAGAATGTATTCTGAAGAAGGGGAGAAGTTCTGTGTGCTATGTAGAAGTTGTATCTGCTGTCTGGGAACAGAGAAAGAAGTGGAAGAGTTTTTTGGTTTTCTTTTGAGGCTGCATAATTAACCTCCGTGCAATTCAGGGGGTCTCTGGTTCTCTTCCTGTCTGTTGTGAACAGTTATTTTTGTTTGTGCTTCTTCTGCAATGTGAAAGGGTGAGTATGGGCTTGACTTGGGGAGTGTCCTTATAAAGACAAGCAGAAAGGTCAGGACTCCTTATCAAGAAAGTCTCCGGAGGAATCTGGCTACCACGCCGATGTTCTCCTGAGTTAATACCACAAAAAGAATCTTGAAGCAGGTATTATGTGAACTTTTCTGGCATAAATTGTGCAGGACTTCAGACTAAGAGATTATTATGGTCATCTTTAAGCTTAAAATGTGTTTCTTGCATGATCTTTATCAGCTGGCCCTGGCTTTCTTGCACTTATATTGCTACCGATCCTTTATTCCAGTGCTTTGAAAACTCTAGACTGTGCGGTAAATGAGCTTTAAATAAAGCTTCCTCACATCTGGGAGCGTAGCAGCTGTTCGGTAGCATCCAACAGAACATCGCAGTAATTTAACACAGGAAGAGCACAATGTCTTGTTCGGGGTTGTACCTTGGTAAAACTGTGGGTAGTCCAAAATGGCTGTGTTGGAAAATTGCCACAGCACCTATGGTAAGCATCCTCTGTCAG